ATCCTATGGTAGTTCCAAACCCTAAACTGTTCACTATCATCAAGTTATTAGGGACTAAATTCTCTAAACATTTGAATTCTCAGTGAAATCGATCAAAATTGCAAAATGTTATGTTAGCTGAACTTGTAAATCCAGATGATATGCAAGGTAATCGGTTGGTATGATTGGTATCATGTAGTACTGTGGTCCTGTGTTTGAGGTAGGTCTGTCACCCGATTTGAAAAGTACAACAGATTATCAGAAGGAGGACTTTTGTATGGACAAAGCAAAATTCTGATAAACATTGAGATGGTATCAGAGTGAAGTGTTGTTTAGGAAGAGAATAAAGAACAAATCCATAAATGATTTAATTCATTAGTGGGCGAATTGCAGTTTTTCATATTTGGATATCCTGCTGCAATGCGTGTGTGTTTCTAATATGTCAAGTAGTAATCTTTGAACGATTTATTATCTTCACTCTCCTATCGCAAGTAGATATTAGGTTCATTTTGAAGAATGTCCTATGATCGTCTCTCTGCTAAAACACTGAACCAAAGAGTATCACAACAGCTTTCCTCGAACTAACATACGTTATATGTTTGAATGCGCTTTATAGCACCCACATTAGCATAGGTGCTGTAAACCTTTCTGTAAGTTTAATAAAAGAACAACATCCATCCTGTTCATCAGTAGTTCATTTACATTCTTTTCGATCCAAAAATTTAAGACAGACCAAGTATTCAAACTGCTATAGAACGAACCCTGTCATCAATATACGCAGATATGTCCTAATCTTCACAAGGTAACATAAAGAGAGATGAATCGAATTGACCTCATCGGATATGAGATAAACGCGATTGAATTGACTTATCTTCCAGAAGTACACAGTGACTTTATCATATAGGCATTTTTGAGTATTGTTCAATGTAAATGTAATATTGAATTGTTGAAATGAATTCACTGAATCATCTTCTTGTTTTCAGATTGAAACGATCGGTGTTCTCATAGGTGCACAAATATCAATGTTCATTGTGAGTTTAGTTAGTGTACAATTTTTGTTGATAGAATGATCACTCTGAAGTACATGTGAACTATTTGTCTCAAATGAATTCTACATTGCCTTATTGAGGTCTCTACCGAAAATGACTTACACATCATATCGTTCAATGTAAACATCGATCTCGATCAAAATGTATGGCGTAAAACATCACATTTTTACGATCAACTACGTACTATATTACTCTATCAAAACTTATAAAACAGGAGCTAGTCGCTTTGAATTTCAACATGATTCAGCAGTTGCAAGTACCTACCTTATAAAATTGAACCCATTTTGAGACTCGAACCCTGATATCCACTTGCCTGGGCGATGGGATGAAGTTTTAATTCACTCGATATTGCACAAGCAAATGGCTTTAAGGGTTCAGTAGCCAAGTAGATAACGTGATGGCGTTTGAAGCAAACGGTGTTGAGTTTGATGCACAGATTTGACATCACATCTGAGATTCAAGTACATCAACTAGATGGATGCCAAATAGGACGAAAAGCATATTCTGGATTCCACTACTAACCACTATTCGTCTTTGCCAATAATATTTGTGAAGTAAAACTATATCGAAGCAATCTTCACATAATGCACATATGTCACTAAATACAGAAATTTATCGATTGCAGACGTAAACATCAATGATGAGGTTCAAGTAAACAATATTAAGTGAATTTTACTTATAATTTAAGTTGAAAAACTCTATTCATGTCATTTTCGGTAACATTTCTTACGTTAAATTACACAAGAAATATCATCACTCATTCTAATTTGGTTACCGGAATACGCATATGAAATTTCGGCTCATGAGTGTTTTAAACAGTTGAATTCACGAGCCGATCTAGACTAGATCACCATAGAAAATATGGAAGCACTGAATGACTGTTTCGCGTTAGTATGAGGCTCTTCGATAGTGCTCATCTACGATTCCAAACACGAGACTCGAACCTAGGACCTTCGATCCCACACACGTATACTTAACCACTAGATAAGTGAGGCCGCATGACCATGGTTGTGTACTATGAAGAGTTCCATATTGTGACAAAATGGCCAGGATTTCACTGGTACATCTAATATAGATCGCTCGTCAAGTCAACTATTCACATTGCTACAATTTTCATACTAGTCATTGTGTTATTTATTTTGCAGGTAACAATATTTTTAATTTATCTAACTGTTGGCAAATCAAAATCTCTTATATCCAAATTATTCATTGGCATCTATATTTTTATATGCCGTATTCTTTTCAACTTTATCAATCAATACAGATATCATTATTGTCAACAAGACCAATAGTTCTACATTCCAGTTCCAATTAACAGAACATTGAAGTTGAACTCTGGAGGGATGAGAATCTTCTTGATTTGTTGTTGTTGTTGGTTTAATATGGCATCACTTAAAAACGTGTGTTTGTGTGCAAACTGATTACATGTGTTTATTTTTGTTCTAATTGATTACAATGTAACGTATATAAAGTGATTTCAATAATTTTTATCCATCTTTAATGTTGATTAGTTTACCTGAATGAGGATTGTATGAAAACATTCATTGTCACTCTAATAATTAATAAATGGGATGTTTATCATTTCCATCTATACTTTTGGCCACTAAAGTCAACTTGAAATTCCCTTTGTTGCGTAATCACAGATGGTACAAATGTAGATGTTGTATCCCGAATGTTGTTCACTTAAATTATGGCTACATACAAACATCATATAGTCATTCCCTCGATGCATAGCAAACGAGCGAAGTGCTGACCATTGTCTATGTAGTAGGTGTCATTCGCAGGATGATGAGGATGTAAAATCCCCATAACTTTGTAAATGCCTCTCATTTTCACCTTCATGTCGTTTGTGTCACTTGGTAGAATCATTTTTGCTATTGGTCCGTTATATCTTGTAATAAGCTATTTTGCAATGTTTCGCAAGTTTTATTTGATGCTGTAGATACACTTTTGATTTGTGCCTGCCGTGATTGCTCGTGCTCCCAGCTGTGCGGAATAAAATTCCTCGTTTCGGACTTGAAGTTCCCTCTCTAGTGAGCGAGGCTGAGACGCATCAGAATGGCCAGCTTTTTGATCTTTGGTCACAGGGTCTTTGTTCCGTTCGCATATTAGGTGAACTCGTAATCGCTCTAAACATATTACAGGATGATACACATTAAACATTGTTCTTAACGTAATATATCTTCCATAATAATAATATTAGTACAGAGATTGCCAAAAAACCCGAGGACCGAATTGTTCAGTATTAGGTTTTTCATTTTTAATTCGTCTTGAATGTGATGAAGTAGATATTCAATCTAGAATTCCTCGATTCTTAGTAGATGTCCAATATTGAAGAGGCAGTGTGAGATCATTCATATAAGATGTTGTGTGAATGTATATGAAACTTCGATCACGTACAAACTTTGTAATGTTCCTTGTTGGTTTACACGTTAACGCGAACTTATGCTCTCGCTGGTCTTCTTCTCACCACCCCTCTCCAATTTCGGATGTTCTTGTCTAAATCACAATCGATTAAATGTTATCATTCAACCTCAACTTAAATCCTTCCTGATTTATTCTAGAATTCTGTTGAAATTGCTGATGTTCTATTACCTTAAGAATTTGTAACATAAATTTTATTCTCATTCCAATTTATTTCTATTCAATCATTGTGTTGACCATCATACTATCCAATGAATAAGTCAATAGAGACAGTTTTCTATAATATTGCAGTTACCCATTCCAGCAACCAAGATGCCGCAACACGTAACTTGTCATTTAAATTCACTTGATGTTGTTTCACTTGTATCTTCTCATTGTTATGTGGGAGTGCGATTTGATCAAGTCGCGGAGATGCTGATACATCTAACTGCTGCGTCACAAATGGGATGAAACCTGCGTCAAACTGGATTGCACTAATAACCACTATCCATCTTTGCCCAAATTACTTGTCAGTTGTTTGCTTGAACTCATTTCTCTTAGTAATTCCATAATCTATTTAGGCACGTTTATGAAAAATTTACAAACTTTCACTGTACAACCTACAAAAACGTATGATCAGGGACATGATGGTTGGCAGGCGATATACATACAAAAGAATGAACATTGATTCAAATAACGATTTGCGAACTGCTGACATCTAATTGGGGATTTATTATCGACCATCAGCTGCACGATGGAACGCTACCTTCATTGCGCGCACCAACTGTGGTATTGAAAATACGATGCTTACCATAATCATCTACGTTATATCTCATAAAATATCAACTTAACTAAGTAATTTTCCAACGTGAGCATTGTCTTTTTTGTAACAACTCAATCTTGCATGTAAATCGGCATGCCTCATCTACCAAATCATTATTTGAGAATAAATTATCATTACCTTGGATATGACTATACACGTTTTCAAAGCAAATATCTTTTAACATATATATAAATTTCTTCAGAAGTATTGTCGTCTACAAAGATCATAATAATTTTTTGTATATTTAAGCAATTGAACTTTAGAGAGGAAATTACCTGCATCACTATTGGAAACCCAGGAGCATAGAGCAGCAGCATCAGTCCAAGTATAAGTTATTTAGAATTGCGCATCCACGAATTGAGACGCTGAACCCGAACTTAGGATATTTCGTCTCGTGCTCTAACGCTTGATTCCTAGGCCATTCAATCAGTATGAAACAGCGCTGATGTTTAACTTTAATCAATTAATGATTTTGCTTAAGTCTTCATTCATTGTCTGAGTTTAATAACTCTCACATTTGCACACACGGACTGAACCCAACTTATCAATTTTTCTCGTAACAACTCCAGGAAATTCGTCTCATGTATAATAATTATTCTAATGACAATGATTCTTTTCATATAATCTCCATCTAAGCACAGTAATCTAAACTGAAGATGGATGACATCACGAAAATCACATCACCATTTTCAAAACTATCATATCACACGTGACATTGTAATCCATTAGAAAAAAATACACACATGTAGTCAGTTTACAGACACATATTTTTATGTGATTCGATACATAAATAACAATAACTACAAAACCATAAAGGTTCCTATCGGTCCAGAGTTCAACTTAAAAAATTTGCAAAGAAAATACAAACAAACAAACAAATGAGAAACAGACTTTGTGATTTCCATCCAACCATTCATGCAATGTTGAAACCGGAACTGGAATATACAACTTTCAGTCTTGTTGATATAATTTTTATATTTGTATTGATTAATAAAGTTGAAAAGAACATGATATACAATAATATGGCCGCCAGTGAATAATTTGGATAAAAGAGAAGATATCTTGATTTGCCAACAGTTACATAACTTATAAATACCGTAATCTGCAGAATCAATAAATGAAAGACGAATTAGTTTGCAAATTGACTATTGGAAAACATAATATTAATAGTGATTGCGCCTCCAAATACCCTTATCTATGGTTAAGTGCTCGCTCAAAGCTAGCAGGTAACGAGTTCTAATTCTACGGGTTGCAGGGTTGTGGATGTGCACTGCTGAGGAGTCCCATGCTAGGATAAAACGGCCGTCCAATGCTTCCAGGTTTTCCGTGGTGTTCTAGATTCAACTGAATCATGATTTCAATCTGAGGAATATTTTTGTGTTCAAACAAACGAATAAATTATAATCATTGCTACGGAATCAGCGTGAAATTTCTCGTTCAAATAATTCTTTTTGCAAAAACAGTCCTGTCTTTATTCATTTAGAATGGAAATATGTTATTCAATAGTGTTGAAATGTAATTACAATTAGTCTTATTTATATTAGTGTCGATGGAGTAATGAGAACACGCGTTATTCTGAAATATGTCATATAATTGCGCCATGCATTTCGATCGAAATCATGAAGCGATTGATGTTAGACCACCATTGAAATTCTGGTTGCATTGGCCAGTCGTTCAGTTCAGTCGTGGGACTCCTCAGCAGTGCGCACAATCACACACGTGGCATTGGAACGCAGAACCTTCGCACTTGCGCACGAGCGCTTAACCTTTAGAATATCGAATTGGCATCGAACGACGTAAATGCCTGAATTCCATCGATCCACGCTTGGTTGCACAACCCTTTATCCATTATCTGAAGTAGATACCTGTCTCTAACCGACAAGGATTGGACTCTATTTGTCATTACTGTTTATTATCAGCATGACTTATCTCTAAATATCAATGTCAGTTTACATCGAACCACATCACATTTCAGTCATTTTCAGTAGGGACCTCAATAAGGCAATGTAGAATTCATTTGAGACAAACAGTTCACTTCTGATTCAGAGTGATAATTCTATCAACAAAAAATGTACATCAATTTAACTCACAATGAACAATGATATTTGTGCACCTATGTAAACACCTATTGCTGCATGCTGAAAAAAAGAGGAAGATTCAATGAATTCATTTTGACAATGCGACATTAAATTTTTACTGCACAATACTCAAACATGACTATATGTGATAAATTCAGGGTGTACTCCTGGTAGATAAATCAATTCAACCACGTTTATCTCATATCTGTTTAGGTAAATCCAATCGATCGCTCTTTATGCTAACTTATGAATTGTGGGACAATTCTGCATATATTGACGATGGAATTCAGTCTACATAAGCTCGATTATTTAGTCTATCTTAAATTTTTATTCAAAAGCATTCAAACGAATCACTCATGACTAGGATTTATGTTGTGCTTTCACTAAAATGACATAAGCGTTTACAGGTTCTACGCCGGTGTTTGTCCTATGAAGCACATATGCCTGTGACGTGTGTACTTCGTATAAACATGCAATATATATTTCGTAGGCAGCAAAGTCGGAATATTCCGAACTCTGATGTCTCTGGGAAGCTGTCATTGATGCTCTTTGAGTCTGATACATTTCTTCAAAGTCTTATTTGTTTATTCAATATCTAAGCTGAAGTGTGTGATCACGTAGGTTCTTCACGTTCAGCGTTTTACCAAAGAGATGATCAAACTGCATTCTTCAGAGTTTACGTAATATCTACATATGAGGTTATTTGATTGATCGCTCTTTATTCTAACTTATGGATAGTGCGACAATTCTGCATATATTGCAGATGGAATTTGGTCTGTAATCTGTTCAACATCGCAACCCAGTTGATAGGTTTCCCATCTTAAGCACAGAACCACAAAACTACATGATATCAATCATACCAACCAAATACCCTGCATATTATCTACATTTACAAGTTCAGCTATCATGGTACTTCGAAATTTTGATCGATTTCACTCGGAATTAAAATGTTTAGAGATGTTGCTTCCTTACTAACTAGATAACAGTGTACAATTTATGGTTTGGAACTATCATAGAATATTATGGTGAACATTTATAATTGTTATGAAAAAAACCCAGCTTCAATCAAAATGATGTAACTTAAGGATCAAATACTTTAGCTCAAAATAATACCTTGCATTGATTGAAAACACTAAGCACAACCGCCACTATCACAATTACAATGGATATAACCAAAAGAAATATTAGAATACTCATTGGGTGATCAAATAAATCTGTCTTAATGGCTGCGCCAAACAGTAATCCGCATGCGAATATCATCAAACTGATTCCAAAGATTGCAAGTTTGACTTGAGGATTTAACTGTGTGGTCAAAACTCCTAATGCTGTTGCCATGCAAACAGACTGAAAACGAAAAAGAATATCATAGTTTTAATGGAAAAGATATTTATTCATCTGTGCTTGCGTTTCATATAATTGGTGATAATAACGTTTACTGAAGTTATGAGTTCTTTTTCTGAAAATAATCACTTCAAGTTTAAAACAATTAGTTTACTGATGTATCGAACGTTTATTCTTTTAAAGCACTCGCGCTTAGACATTAGCATTGTTAAACAGCGGCTCAGTGTTCTGAAAAATAAGCGTTCGCCCACGGTACCGATAGACCTTTGGCTCAGATCACGCGAGCGGTATCGTGGAGGAGCACTCTTGTGAAGTATCACAGTACAATTAAACTGCCGTTCAGTGTTTTCAGGAATTCAATCGTGGTCTAACATCAATCGCTTCATGATCTCAATCAAAAACGTAATAATCTACACGATCACAACAGTAATTTAGACATTGAGAGAATGAACTTTAATTAACAAATCTCTTAGTTCTCCAATGTATTGATCATCAAGATTAGATACGTATTCATATAATTCTGTGAGAAAGTGTGAATGATGTGTTGGGCATGACGAATTGATAATAAGATTATAATACCAAGTGACAGCATATTAGATAGCCATAAAATGTTATGCAACTTGTACGGGATGAGTGTAAATAAAATTACTTGAGGATGAACAACTTACACCTCAATAATCATGCGAATGCTGAGAATCGCTGCTAGAATGATTTAAGGTGTGAGGGAAGAGATGAGTGTTATGATCGCTACTCGAATAACGCAGAATGCATTATAAAACTAAGAAACTAGGAAGTATAGAACCCTCACAGTCTCAAGTCAAAAAACAGAAGAAAGCTGGAGAAGCATTTATTGAGTAAGAATCAAATGTAAGAAACGTCATGGGTATGTTTCGATATAAGCGTTTGTTATATAAACATTATAGTTCAACCAATTCGTGAAGACGCATATTGTGTTACTATCCAATACTATCATGGCACGTTGATATTATAAATAGGTCTATCATGTACTGATTATAGGGAATCTCTTAGGCTCATATAATGCCTTTGGATGCCTTAGTGTAATTAATTAATATCAGAAGGCTTTAGGAATAAAATCTCAAAGAAACGACGAACAGTTAAAAAGAGAAAAAGATTTTGTGGAATTCTCAATCACTGGATTAAAAATGGAATGACATCAGTAATAATAGTAGGTCATTAAATAGGCGACAACGTCAGTCAGGGTTTATTCGCTGTATGGTGCAAGATTCTGTGATCTTAAGAAGGTAATTATCTTCAGTAACTCAAGTCTCAATAACATAAGAAGCGAACAAGATTTCACGTCCGACTCACTGAAATCGAATTATAGAAGATTTTATGTGATCGTTTTTTTGTTTGCTTTCAGTAAATCTAATTCATGGGACATTAATTACTCATTCTCATCACACTCACATTGAAGAATCAGACAGAATGACACAATTCTCCTTCTACACTGACATCCACAAATAGATGCTGCAGCATCGTAGATTGATAACCGAGATGAATCAAATCTCTTCTACCTTAAACATGAAACAAAACACTAGCAGCGGTGACAACCAAAATCTCAACACTAGTCAGAGTCTAGTGTTCTCTTTGTCTCATTTTGAATAGATTTACCTTCCATCAGGAAGTTGAAACTGACCAGATGTGATTCCTTTTCCCACATTCAAAGTTAGCTTAGCTTGGTATGCAAGTTATTCTTCAATACATAACTTACAAAGGTACTATGCATGTTATGTCCAAGTTTTCGCTCGTTCCCTTTACTGAAGTACGGTATATCGATCTATTTGCAAATTACGAACCCAAATTAACAATAAAACCATACTTCAATTCGGATTCTAAGGTTGATTTGCAATTTACAAATAGTCGACCCAAATGTCGTTCTAACAACAATAATTATAACAATTGCAAAACTAACCTTCAACTTTTTAGGTTCTCGGAGCAAAGGTTAACAAATACCAAAACAAAAAAAAGAAATCAAAATGTCCGAAAATAACGATATAAACGAACAAATTCAAAAGTTAAGTTCAACAAATAGCAGAAGAGGATTTGTGGAGATTGTAGTAATTTCAACAGTTAAATTTATGAGTCAATTGAAGCCATACCACCATGGAAAAGCTGGAAGCACTGGACGGGTCAGTGGTCTAGTTGATTAAGCGCTTAGTGCGAGACTGATAGGTCCCGGGTTGGAATCCCACGAGGTGGAGTAATGGATGCGCGCTGCTAAGGGGTCTCAAAATAGAACGAAACGACCGTCCAGTGCCCTCGATTCTCCCGTAACAATGCCTATGAGTGATACCCCTGATATGTTTATCTCAACAGATCGAAGATTTAAGTCACTCAGGATTACGCTTTCCAAAACCTTTTCAGTCACATCTGATCACTATTTACAAGCAGTACTCTTACTCTCACTTACATACCTTTGATTGTATTGGATTATATTAAACAGAATAACAAAGTAAATGTGAAACGAATATCAGAAATTCTTACGAAAACAATTACAAGCGCGAGATTCAGTAGATAATTCTCATCTATCTTCTTCACGATGGCAATCAGTAAGAATACCGCAAGTGCAATCAATCTACAATAGATAACAGAAATAACTATTGAGCATAACTTGTTTAACTCCGACTGTAACTCTTCTAGGTCTACTGCCAGTGTCACTTCCGGGTAAAAGAGAAGGATTGGGAGTAGTGTCGACAACTCTATTTCGTACAAATCAACCTTGCTATGTACATATATAAGTAAGCAGTTCACAGCATGCTGAAAAATAACAAAAATAACAATCTGAGAATGATAGTTGGCCGTTTTATTCGCACGCGCACATCCTCACGACAATCAAAGCATTCCGTTAAAGTCAATTGTATCACTTTTATAACAAGAATGTTAATTATTGAAATACGAAATCCTGATGTACATCGTAACCGGTTTATTTTATGTATTCGAAACATACATGTTTTGCTATATGACAATGAGTAGAAACTTGTACTCCCTTTGTTTCGTTACTTAGAGCCGTCTCTTCAGAGCAAACAAATAACCGTAATAGAATTAACACAAAATGAAATATTACAGAAGAAACAACTCAGAAGTCCTTTTAATCCAATTATTATCATAATAGATCTGAATGTGTCAGCGTCAAGTTCATTTTAGTCAAGGTGTATTTGTATGACATTTCACAATGTAAGTGAAAAAAACACCAAGCCTCAAACAATCCATGACCAGTGGAGCTAATCTGTAATGCAGAAAGAGAGGTTACTACATCGTAGATTGGAAGATGGTCACTCGATGTCGTGGATTGGTTTAGGTTATAATTAACACACAGCTGGAAGTCGGCCGGCTTAGTGGTGAATGCTCACTTCTGAGGAGTCCCACAATGAAAAAAACGGGCGGCTTGTGCTTCCAGGTTTTCCATGGTAATCTAACGTGATCACCATAATCTCTATGAAAAACGTAATGGTCTCCAAAACCACATATTGGTATTCTGATATTTTCAGTTTTGATTTAGTTATCATTAGAAGTACCGTATGTCGCTATAGTAGATGTGACTTGTTTATCCTCTAATCTTACAAGATCATTAGGTAGTCTTTTTACTAAACATGCGATTATCTCAGGCGGCCAATACTACTCGACGAAGGGTAATAGGCATAAGTAACTAAATAGGTAACGCTGTATTTAATCAAGATATGCAATCACCATCTTACTTTCAAGTAAATTAATAAACAGATTATCAATAATTTGTAAAATAAAAATAACATAACATACAGGAATAAACCAGAAAATACTGATGGTATCATTTGCTCGCCATATGGAAATTCCATCCTACTACAATAAAGACGAATATTATTATCATTACTGACTATGTAAATTACAGTATTGACAAAATCATTAAAACAAACAATGTTACTGATGTTTGTATTGCAACAAGTATAAGCACCTATCATTGTGAAAAACATTCAATGATAAAACACAATTTACTAATTTAGTATATGTCGATACAACCAGTAAACGATTAACATGTTCCATCTGGTTTATCATGTTGATTCCATCAATGGATTTCCATTCAAGATTTTCAATCATGGCAAACGTTATATTTAAATTTGTTTCCTAGAATAAACAGTAATATATCATATTAACGTTTCATCATAAATACGATGGATGACTAAGTATACTTTAATGAACGAGAACAAAGGCGGTTACAATCAAATTCTTTTAAAGCGGTGGGGATGAGTGTGGTGTACGATAGTGATGTCGATGTAGTATGTCTCATTATTTAAAAGTGAAGTACCTGGCAGCAGAAAATCAAGGCGATTAAAGAGAATAAACGAGATTGATAACAGAGAGACTTCGATTTAAAAACGAAGTACCTATGATGAATTGACATAAATCCTGAAATTACATAAACATCAAAATAATAAACTGTGGACGAATCAATCAAATTTAGGATAACGGTTGTTGCATTTAAGCGTGGACGTCATAAAGTGACTTGTTTGAATACCGTTTCAACATGTAAACTGATGTTAGTACTTGATGAAAACCCCAAATCTACATCCCAACAGTAAATCAACTCTAAACCATTAGTCTAAGTCATCATACTGAGGTAATAATTCTCATTTAGTCTTAAAATAATAGATGGATATACTTAAGGTCAATTCTCATGTAGTAACGTTGACAAGAGCATGTAAAGATATTATATATCCATATATATGACATAAATCATGACTAACAGTTTAAAAGCTACGATTGTGAGTTAAATGGAATATTCATTCGATGATGATAGTAGAGAAATTGAAGTACTTTCCAATTGTGAATGATGTAAGTGATTACTTTTATGATTATTACAAATATTGTCTTACTTGTGTTTAGAATAGTGCACTTGTATTCAATTGTCAGTGATTTGAGAATCTTATTGAATTCGATTGTTGATTAGATTCCGTATGTTTGTTTATTCACTTGTATAGACTTCCAATAATTGTGAATTATCTGGTTCATTTAATTGACACTATTCGTTATGTGATCTAATTGGATAGATAGACATATTGAACAATGAGTAGGATCTTTACAAACATGTTGAAACAATTTATCGATTATTGTCATGAAGTAAAAGAAATGCCAATTGACAAAAAACATAAATATTGGTACAAAGATGTACTGACTAGGCATACGCCACACAAGGCACTTGATTTATGTTTGGGTTGTGATACTGTGGTATGACTTAATTATGCTCATATTCGTGGTGCATAACGATAGTCAGGAATAGAATGTATTTCATTAGAAAATCTAGAAGGAAGGAACGAGAACGGAACGCAATTGGTATGAAAATCTAGGGGCAATAATCTCTAAGACGATGGACTGATATTTTCAATGAAACAACCAAGTATGAGAAAACAGATTGATATTTTGGAAATAAAATATTGATTGTATAGTTCTCAGATTTTGGTAAGATATTCTGTGATTTCGTGTTGATGTGCATTACAATGCCAACATTTTTTTCTCGTTCACTACAATACTATCCAGGTGCTTAGACGGAAGCAGGTTGTTTTATTAGGGGGACACATCATGAGCGTTTGACCTCAAGATGTGGTCCACAAGTCAGTGAAGCAGTGTCAAAAGATTTATTCCTTTGGTAGCCGGAGACAAACTTTTGATTTATACATGCTTCTTTCTCACAAAATCCTAGGTACAATGCTCACCATTTGCTTGGATTGAGGGTTTTCCGAGTTGCTATATATCCATCAACCAGGTTAATGAACTGGATATTAGCTTCTCGTCCTCTCAATTTCGTAAACAACACCCGAGGTGTGGAGAGGCAGTGATCTTGACTTCTCATGCAGTTTTTGCAAATGCATGGCAACGTGAGAGCATATGGAGAGGGAGATAGAGTTAACCCTATATGTGCGACAGTGGTAATTAAAAGCCAAACTTAGGTTACGTTGGGGGGATTTGTCTCAAGCAATCGTTTATGCAGACAGACATTTAGAATGAGAAGCGGTTAAGCAATAAGAACAGGAGAGGAGAAGAGTGGAAAATGCAAGTGAACCAACTCCGATTTTATCACATATTTTCAAGGTGCTTGATATTCAGTTTTTTCAATATGTGATATTTTAATTTATCACTACAATGAGTGTTTCCAGATGTGGAAATATGTTTTAATGAACAAGTTAACATTATATATTAGTGAGGTAGTATATATATTTGTGAACTCTCATCGATTGAATTTCGAGTAAATTCTACTTCTTTAATGCCTTCCATTAACTCGATGCCTAAATATCGTGAAACTATTCTTTCAAATAGGAAAAAAACCAACATGACATTTGTTATAACCAAAACGTCAAGAAATACGACATTGATCCAGTTCACACCAATCATGAAAATTCGGAAGAAACGTCGCATCTGGAATCTGAAGATCGATATAATGTACAGCTGAATGGATCAAGATTGATCCTTTACGTGTGTACGTGAACGAAGTTTAATATACTTTCACATAATATTTATGAATTATCGTACACAGCCTGCCTAATATTTGCCATCTTCTAAGAATCGAAGAATTTCATATCGAATGTGTACTTCAATATAATATAGAGTGATTAACAATAAGATATGTAATACTGATAAATTCAATGTGATTATTCATCAACTTTCATTTATTTGACAGTTGAATGTATAAGTCAATTGAAGCTAGACCAGTATGGAGTAACTCGATGCATTAGAGGACCGTTTCGGCCTGGTGTGATATTGTTTAGGAAGACGCATCCACGATCACGCCTCGTGAGGTTCGAACTCTGTACCACTCTGTCTCGCATGCGAACGCTTATTCTGCAGGCCACTAAGCTGACCTCCAGGAGTAGAAAACGAAGTTTGCTTCCAACGAGTACATCATTCTCATTCATGATTCTACTAGTATATGATCAACTTACACAACCAATTCATTTCATGATCTGGCTTTATATGCTATATTAAATGGAGTTTTTATGTATCATTCATCATTCATCAATAACCTCCGCGAAATGCTCTGGTATGGCCGAGGATTGGGACAGTTAGCTTCCCCTCTCGAAAGTCTCACATGACCTATTCACTGCCTTTTTGCCAATGAGATGTTATTTACAAAATTGGGAGATCAAAATGAATGTGCGGCTCTCTGGGTGTGGCTCCGTAAGAAAATCACGTGCTTCGATTTGGGCAACAGCGCTGTACTCTAGCCTGCACACAAATCGATTGATTCGTATGGTGCATATCTAATTGATTCCTCCTTCTACCGATATTTATGTTTTCCAATAAATAATAAGAATAAAAACTGTTTTCTCTCAAATCGCATATGTACTCTATGACTAAATTGCGTAAGTTGTTTGTAGAGATCAAACTCATCGCACAACATGTCTATCTATCCAATTCGATAACACAACGAATAGTGTCAATTAAGTGAATCACATAAATCATAATTATTGGTAGTCTATTGAAATGGATAAGCAAACATACAGAATCTAATCAACAATCGAATTCAACAAGCTTCTCCGCTTACTGCAGGTTACGTACAAGTACATTTTGTCATTTGATTCCGTCGAGTACAAACGCCATACGTAAATTATCCTATTCTAAACACAAGTAAGATCATATTTGTAATGATAATAATCATTTACATTATTCACAATTGAAACGTTTGGCGAGACTATAATTTGTGGACGAACCAATCACGTATAAGATGATAAATCTCGGATTTGAGCGCGAAATTCACTCACCTACCAGGCAAAGTATGATTGTTGCATTACAGCTGATTTCTGTTCGTCGTGAAAAACCTAAATAAATCCCTAGCCTTGACCATCAAATATAAATCGAAATTCCATTTACTCACACACGTTTACAGTCTTCACTTGATTCTAGTTATTGAGTGGCAAGTCTCAAGGTCACTTCAGCCTCACTTGAAGGTTGCCCATAGAATGTATTCTCACCGAAAAGTACTTCAACTTCTCAACTTCCATCATTGAACGAATATTCCATTGAACTAACCATCGTAGCTTTCAAACTGATAGTCATGATTTATGTCATATATATGGATATCAAACATCTTAACATTCTCTTGCCAACGTTACTACATGAGAATTGAACTTATGTATGTCCATCTATAATTCTAGGACTAAATGAGGATTACTACCTCAGTATGATGAATTAGACTAATGATTTGGAGTTGATTTACTGTTAGGATGTAGATTTGGGGTTTTCATCAAGTACTAACATCAGTTAACATGTGAAAACGTTATTCAGACAAGTGGATATCTGAATTCTACACTAAAATCCAAAACCCGGTATCCTAAATCTGATTGATCCGTCAATAAATTCTAATCTCGCTGTTTGTGTGATTTCATGCAGTGTATTTATTCATTATTCTGCCTTCATTTGCATACCAGTCATTCTCTCTTCTTTATCTCTTTTATTTTCTTAACCCTCTGCCTCCAGATATTTCACTTCCGATTATTGACAGACTACTTATATCTGTAGACATCAATAGCAATCACTACCCTCACCCATACCTTTTTAAAGCATTTAGTTGTATACACCTGTTTTATCATTCATTACAATACATTTAGCCATCCATCACATTTTTGATGAAACTTTCATATGATAATTTATTGTCTATTCTAGGAAACAACTTTGGAAGTAATGCTTGTCACGATTGAAAATCTTGAATGGAATTCCATTGATGGAGTAAACATGATGAATCAGATGGAACATGTTAATCGTTTACTAGTTGTATCCACATATGCCCTTATGGTAGATTATCCTTCGTCAATCATAAAATCATTCCCATTTATAGGTGTTAATGATTCTCATAGCACAAATTTTATTCACATTTATTGTCATATTATTCATGTCCTTATCGTAAATAGTTTGATCAATAAATGTTCTCTTTTTTGTTTTCTTTTGTTCTGTTTCCATAGTTATCAATCGAATTTTTCAATTGAGCTATTAATACAAATAACGGCTAGTGGTTCATTTGTGTATGTAATATACGTAAAGTTGTTTGATGACATAATTATTATTATTATCACACTTTTTGATTTTATTGAATATATATTTGTATATATTGTTACTTAAGTATTCATATTGTATAATTGCCTGGTGATCATTATATGACACTTGGGGTTTGAATATTGACTAAGATTTTCTCTAGAGTGACCTTAGGAATATTGCATGTATACTTACCTACTTACTTTAGCCTGTTACCAAACAGCACTCTTTAACCCAATCTATCATGACCTTTTCTTACTTGTTTTATCCAATGGTTGTTCATTGTTCTCATGTCTGAATTCATTTTTTGGCGTAATCTGTTATTTGTTCTTCCTCTCCTCACTTGACGTTAAGGATTCGACATGAGAGCTAGTCTTGCGATGCAGTTGGATGCTTTCCTCAATGGACATTCTATCCACCTCTAGCACTTCTTCCTGATTTCGTTCATCGCCAGAATACGGTTTGTTCTCTCCCACATTAGTTTGTTGCTAATAGTGTCTAGCAAACGGATCCGAAATGTTTTGTATTGACTTTCGTCGTTCTCCAAGTTTCCACCATATACAGTAGAACTATCTTAATGTTATATTGAGTTCGAGATGTTCCTCAGTTGTAGGTATGCTGCTCTTGCTTTGCCGATCCGCGACTTCACATCTGCATAAGATCGACCGTGTTCATCAATGATGTTACTCATATATGTAAAGGATCTTGAGACTATCCATCTTAGAACTAGGACTAAATGTGAGTTATGAACAAATGTATTGAAATAAATTAAGAGTTTTCGTTACGACCTGATATCAGTTATAATACCAAAACTCTATTTCGGCAGATAGATGAATGAATTTCGCGTCAAAATCCAAAATCTGTTATCTTATGTCTGATTGATT